CTGTAGAGGCACAGGATATTTCTCCCCATGGGTGTTATTTCTACACTTCCGGGGTTTTGTGTCCGTATTCAACCTGAGCAAGACAGAGAGTTGTCTGGGCTTTCTTTCTTCTTCATGTTATGTAGCGTTCATGTTCATGTAGGGTTAGAATAAAAAAGAAGTTGCGCAAATAGTCAAGATGCCTCGAAGACTTCACCATCAGAGGCAACAGTTCTGGTAAAACTCCACCAAAGTGAAGACAATGCATCAAATTAACTTCATGCAGAAGTCTTTGAAAGATTCAGACCTAGAAAGACCAGGCACGTCAAGAGGTACAAAAAACTGGGTACTGAAAAAAGGGCAACCTAAAAGCCAGCTCATATTAAGTTCATCCCACTTTGTGGCAAAGGATATATAATATTTAAGAAAAAATATTTAAAATGCCAACAACTTTTAATTATCCACATTTGCTTTCCATACTTGGCATTTTGTTCTTAATAATAATGATGAACAATTATCCCCTTAACAAAACTGTTATCATTCTCTCTAGATGATTACATTGCTAATCCAGTTACTAACCATTCACCCAGCTATTTCATGGCAGCTGATTTGTGGTAGCTATCTGCATGGAAATGTTTAGCCCTTGATAAATTCCAGATAATACTGCATGCAGATTTTTAATTGGTCATCAGTTTGAGCCCTAAAATACAAAACTCATTTTGTAAGATACAGCCATTGCAGCATCTTTTAAGACCTGTAATAGTATTATATGGCCAAGAGAGACCATAATTGTTTTGTAACTGTCTTACACAGTAGAAATTCTTTGAATTAATTCTTCTTTGTATCTAACTGTAATTGTATGTAACTTTCATAATAACATCCGGTCTTTACTTTAACACATGCAGTGGTAGAAAATCCATCACAGCAACTAATAAGTTTGTCACCTTTGTTAGGTGTCATTTAATAATATATCCCACATTGTTGAATTCAGAAGAGGCAGGGAGAGAGAGTAAGAAACAGAGCTGACTTTTTCTGAGGCTAGTGAGAACTTAGATTCATCTACTGCCAGCTGCAGAGAATGGGATTACTTCTGGATAAGCAGGCA